TCTTGAGCCCAAATGTATTTATTCTAGTCCAAATGTATTTCTAGCCCAATCTTCTAACTCATTTAATCTTAATTGTTTAGCCCAATCATTTTGCCTAAAACCAAGTGTTGAGTCCAAATTCTAATATTCTAGTCTAGCTCAAAGTAGGTTTTTGGCAAATAATTGTATGGACCATGTCCACACAATGTTACGTGGACCATAACAAAAAGTACATTTTTAATATACTAAATGACATTATTTTTGTACTGAATGTACATTATTTTTATACTGAATGTACATTATTTTACAGTAGACAAAACATGGTCCATACAACTTGTGTGAACCATGGTCCAACAATAATGATTGGGCTACCTACCAATTTATTTGATCAATTAAGTATATTATATACATATGCTGTTCGTGATTCTTCCTCCTTCAAATTCCAGAAACAAACAACCCCTATCGTCTCTCTGTCTCTCTCGCCAAAGTGAAGAAAGAAGCATCAGCTTCAACTCTCACTCTTGCGTCTCTCTTCTCCCTCGCGTGCCGGCGACTTGTGGTGACCGGCGGCGTCCTCAGTCAGTAGCAGCCGGCGAGATGGAGCCTCGATGTAGCAGGCTGACGGCAGCGGTAGAGCTTTGCAGCGACATCCGGCGACCTTCCTCGACGGAGAACAACAACCTGCAGCAGATCGGCATAGCAGCTCCTCCTCTCGCGACGGCGGCGCCAGGTTGAGCTTTGGCCACCGGTGATTACGGCTACCTGCGGTTGTTCGATGCTACTATAATACCATCTACTATATTACTAATGGATGTACCCTACACAGTATATTTTATAATAATAATAATAATACAATAGTCCGTACGACAACCCAACGATTCGTACGAAGAATCCGAATATACTTTTGACCCAATTCAAATCGAAAGTGAACCCCCTGATAATTGTATCATAAAATAGCCACTTAGTATGCCATTTTATGCCATTTTTTTCCAATATTTACAGCATTAACATGCTCACAAATTTTATTTTATTTTTTTAATATTCCGGTTTGGAACCGGTATTCCATCTTTAAACGTAAAATTTAGAACAAACAATTAAATACGCACGCACCGAGTTGGGAATTTAGGATTATACCGTTTGCCGGCTATTGATGCAATATGAGTGGTATATGTTCTCCAGGAAGCAAGATTTAGGAGTGGCACTATATGTTGATTGTGACCGATTGAATATAATACCAGGTCCGGATTTTGGGCTGTGCAAGCTGGGCTACCGCACAGGGCCCCAAATTTTAGAGGGGCCCAAATTTTAGAAGCTCAATATTTTATTTTTACCTAGTTAGTTTAGAAATAAAAATTAAAAGTTTTTAATTAAACTTAGAAGGCTTTATAAAGAAATGGTGGGAACATGCATTTATTGTATTTTAACTTTGAGGTTTAAAATACTTTGCACGAGTTTGTGAGTTTAGAAAAGATTTCGGTAAGGGTGATAAAAGATGATATGAGTGCAGAAATAAAAAGCGTAAGTAAAGAGATAGAAGGAACACGAGATTTTATAGTGGTTCGGCCAACGTTGCCTACTCCACTCTTCTTCCGCAACTTATGGAAGGATTGCACTATCACTTCTTAGTACAAATACATAAAGACTTCCTTGATCACTAAGCCGGACAACCTTTGTAGGTTTTTCAACTTCTCAAGTTTACTCCGCCTCTATCAACTTCTTCTTCTGAGTTGAGGTTGGTAGAAAATGATTTCTTGATTCCTCCAACGATGAAGTCTTGGCTGAGAGATGATTGCTTCGAACAGATTGCAAGAATTCTTTTGAGGTGTAAGAAAATGATCAAAGACCTTCTTCAAGTAACTTAACACCTCAATACTGGTTCACAAAAGCTTTTGGAAATTTTAAGAGCGTTCAAGAGCTTTTGCAAGTAAGTAAGTCGAGTGAGAATGAACCAACACCTTCTCAGTTGATGAAGGTGGGTTTATATAGGTGATGAAAATTCATCCGTTGGAAGGAGATGAAATTTTCGAACCTTTTAACCAGTGGACAAGGACCGGGGAGCATCATGCATTAAATGCTCCATTGATGAGGTTGTACCATGTAGCCGTTGAAGGTATGGAAAGCATTAGGGTTTTGTCCTTTAGCTCCAGGAGATGGTACATCTTCATTTAATGCTTCTTGATAAGTGTGTCCCATAAGATGAGGTCCTTATAGTCCTAGAATGTTGTCAAATCAGACAGGTAGAACATTCTTCTCGTTGTCGAAGAGAAGTAATGGTTGGTGAGATTTGTCTTTAGCAAAACTGTCCTTTTGTGATAGTTGACAACTTCTGCTTTAACTTTCGTTGTTGTTCATCATGTCTTGTGTCTTCTTTCGTCTTGGAGACCCTATCAACTAATCATAACTCATGTTCGTGTGTTTGTCTAGCTTAACACGAATTACAAAGGAGTTATGGCAACTCTCGTCTAGGACGAAAGCAGCAAAAAGAAAAGCTAAAAGTTAGGGGTCTACTTTTCTACGTTACATTGGTATCATCAAAATCCTAATACAAGGTTCCTAACAATTTCCCCCTTTTTGATGATGCCAAAACCTATACCCTTCTCGTAAGACTGAAAAAGATTCCATAAGGAGTTTTTCTATTACAAAAGCAGTCTTACTTGAGAGTGTACATGTCCTTTCTAGAATAGAAGCATTTAACAATTAAGACAAAGACAAATAACTCAGACAAGTGACACGAGATGTGTAACAATGAGAGTTTCATATATAAGATAGTGACGGTTATAAAAACTTTATGAGGAAAACAACAGAATAAAAGATATCTTACATTTCTAAGATTTTTGACATCTGTAGAGCAGTTTCCTTGAGATCTTTGTCGTCCTTTTCTTTTTGTTGCTTGAGCATCCTTTTAAGATCTATTCCCTCATTGATCTTTTTCCTGAAAACCTTAATTGGATTTGTCCTGACAAGCTCTTCATGTTCTCCTTTGATGTTCAGGCTTGTGTAATTGTTATAGGCTTCACGAATGTTTCTTCCTTCAACTATTCCAGCCTTCCACCACGAAATTAGCTCAAACGAATTCATCCCTTCTTGATAGCTCTTTTCTGACTCTTTGTGCACTTTGAAAGCTGCATTGTGAATAACATTCTGTAGAGAGTCTTTGGTTACACTAGAAAGATCTTCAATGAGATTCCTAATCCTTTCTCTTTCCATTGCTTCATCCTCTCTCCTTTTAATCTCTTCATCATGTTTCTTCCACAGCTCTCTGTTTTCTCTTTTGATCCTTTCGTTTTGGGTGCTAATGTGATCTTGCCTTGTATGGTTATCCCTTGTTTTGAGCCAGATAGGAACATTGCAACCCTCAAAACGTTTGCCACTTCCTTCTTCGTATGGAACAAAGTCCACAAAGTTTCCTATGCCATCCATAGTTACTTTGTTGTTCTTCATGAGTCTTTGCCTTAGATTCGTCTGTTATCTCTTGGATAAACCCGCGAAGATGTATTTAGCTTCAGAACCGAAAGATTGGCGAGGCTTAATTGATTTGGATTGGTATCGACCATGGTATCTTGGCTTCGAGGAATGGTGATCACGAGACCTTGAAGGAGGATGGGATAGATTTGTGTTCCTTCGGCCAGAGTCTCTTGGTGTCCGAGAAGGCGAGTGTCTTGCTTGTAGAGGCTGATCTTTCGTGATATCTCTCGAATATCTTGGATGATCATCATCCTTATCCTTGTCGTCATTTCTCTTTTCCCCCTTTTTGGCATCATCAGCACAGGTGGTAGGAGGAACAGAGGAAACCTTATTGATTGCAACCAAGATATCCTGGGCATACCCGAGAATTTGAAGAAGACACTTAAATTTTGATAAATATTGATTATTTATCAATATTAGTATATTTGAATATATTTGAAATATTTTGGATAATATTGATATTATCTAATTTGTTAATTAGATAATATCAAAAGAGTTTGAGCTTATCAAAACTCTCTATCCTACAGCTATAAATAGGAGCTCTCATTTCTATGTAATCTGACACATCCTAGGAAAAGTGATGTAAACATCTAGAAAAATATTATTCAGGATCACAATAAAAATGTGATACTGAAAGTAGAAGTTTCTCCTCCATAATGATCATGCCTATGCCTATTGATCCAAACCTCCATTGAAGATCAAGCCATTTGAACCCGGAGGCCCTTCAAGAAGAACAAGCTATATATACAAGCCCTTCTTTGAAGATCAAGCCACTTGAAACCCGGAGGCCCTTCAATGGTGGAGTGTTCAAGGCACCAATTGAAGAATCAGAGGATATCCAGAGACATGTACCCACACCGCATTGATACTTGATATGTAAACCAGAACTTTGAATTTCTAAATATATATTCAATTTTCTTTGTTTACAAGCATATTCTCCCAGTTGGTATGCATTGTCTTGATAAGTATCAATCTTGGTGCATGCTAGGTCGACACGCTCTTTAAGGCCAAAATGAGAGTGTTTGAGCTCGTGTTGTTGTCGTGCAACTTTGTTCATGGTGGTGTCCAGTTCATGAAGTCTCTTAGCTATTCGCTCAAGAGATTTGTGATCAGATTGAGCTTGTTGAGACGGTTGAGGCTGTTCCTGAGGTGGAGGTTGAGGTTGAGATTGGGCAGCCATCAAAAGATCTACCTTCTTGCATAGATCATCTAAGACTTTCGTGTCCTTTTGCCGTAAAGCGAGATATTGCACATGGATGGTTTCGGCTGAATGGACAGTTTCTCTCATGAGATTCATGATAGTTCATGGGGACTCTGCAGTAGACTCTTCTTCAATGTTTGTTGGTGTTGTGTCCATTTGTTTATCTTGATGTGGTGCTTCCCTTTTTCCACCACTTGCCGAGCTGAGAAGAATTGGTGAGGCTTCCAGTTTGCCCTCACGCACAATTTCGTTCTCTTGCTTGATCGGAGTCTCGTCCATGGGTTGGACATGTGGAACTATAGCACGAGACAAATCTTCGGGATCTTCATTTGAAGCTTCATTCGGGTCATCACTGTCAGAAGGTAGTTTCCTTTAAGGGAGATCTTTGTGGAAAAGTATCATAATCAGGACCGATCAAAATTGGATCACTGTCTTCGGGATCGGTTTCCTGAATAGTTGCATTGCCCAACTGATCATCATTGTCATCATCATCATCATCGTTATCATCATGCTCGTCATCGGCATCGTCAACAACATCATCATTATCATCTTCATCTTCTTCTTCATTCTCAGCACTTTCGTCTTCTTCAATTTCTCGTCCAAGCTCATTGTTGGACCCGATAGATTGTGTGGTGAGTCTAGAGGGGGGGGGGGGGGTGAATAGACTCTCGTTTTTCTTTAGTTTTTAAAAGAAAAACCCTGACAACACTTTTGAGTAAGATAAGCACAGCGGAAAGATTATAAAGAGAGGGTTGCACGAGTTTGATAAAAAGATAAGACGAGTGATGAAAAAGATGATATGCAAGCAGTAAAATAAAGCAGTAAGTAAAGAGAAGAGCGAGACGAAATTTTATAGTGGTTCGGCCAAACGTTGCCTACTTCCACTCTTCTTCCACAACTGCTGGAAGGATTGCACTATCACTCTTTAGTACAATTACACAAAGACTTCCTTGATCACTAAGCCGGACAGCCTTTGAAGGTTTTTCAACTCCGAGAGTTTACTCCGCCTCTATCAACTTCTTCTTCTAAGTTGAGGTTGGTGAGAAAGTATTTCTTGATTCCTCCAACTGTGAAGTCTTGATGGTGTGGGATGATTGCTTCAAGAGTGCAAGACTTCTTTCAAGATGTAGGGCAGTGATGGATGATCTACTTCAAATGCCTTAACACCTTAAATAACTGGTTCGCAAAAAGCTTTAAGATTGTTAACTTTTCAAGGACTTTTTGCAAGAAAGTGAGTAGAGTGATAATGAACCAGCACCTTCTTAGTTGATGAAGGTTGGTTTATATAGGTGATGAAAATTCATCCGTTGGAGGGAGATGAATTTTTTGAACCTTTTATCTGTTGGACAAGGACCATGGAGCCTCATGCATTTAATGCTCCATTAATGGGTTTGTACTATGTAGCCGTTGAAGGTATGGAGGATTTGATGACTTTTGTCTTTTAGCTCCAGAGATAGTACAGTTTCATTAAATGCTTTTTGGAGAGCGTGTCCCATGAGTTGAGGTCCTTATTGTCCTAGGATGTTGTCAAATCAGACAGGTAGAACATTCTTCTTGTTGATGAGAAGAAGAATACTTGTTGGGATAGTCTTGAAATGAACTGTCTTCTTAATGACAACTCCTTCTTTCGTTGCTGTGGAGTCTTCTTTCGTCTTGATCAGCCTATCTTCTATTCATAACTCTTTTCGTGTGTTTGTTCTAGCTTAACACGAATTACATATGAGTTATGGCAACTTTCGTCTAGAACGAAAGTAGCGATACAAGAAAAACGTAAGAGTTAGGGGTCTACTTTCTACATTACATTGGTATCATCAAAATCCTAATACAAGGTTCCTAACAATTTCCCCCTTTTTGATGATGCCAAAACCTATACTCTTCTTATAAGGCTGAGAAAGTGCTCCTTAAGGATAATTCTATTAATAACACAGCCATTATCGAGAGTTTACATGAATTTTCTACGAAGAAGCAGCAGAAATAAGGACAAGGACTTTATAACTCAGACAAGTGACACGAGATGTGTGACAATGAGAGTTTCATAGATATTCAGATAAAATCTTTACAAAAACTCTGTCAAAAGAAATCAAAATAAAGATAACTTACATTTCTAAAAGATTTAGCCTTTGCTGAGCTTCCTTCTTTCTTTCTTGATTGTCCTTCTCTTCCTGTCTTCTTTGTGTTCTCTCGTAGTCTATCTTCTTGTTGATACTTGCTTTGAAAGTCCTGATTGGATTGTTTCTGACGAGCTCTTCATACCCTCCTTTGATGTTTAGACTCGTGTAGTTGTTGTAGGCTTCTCGAATGTTGTTGCCTTCCACTACTCCAGACTTCCACCAGGAGATCAGTTCAAACGAATTCATCCCTTCTTGATAGCTTTTGCCTGACTCTTTATGCACTTTGAAAGCTGCATTGTACGTGACATTATCAGGAGAGTCTTTGGTTACATTTGATAGATCTTTGATGAGATTCTTAATCCTTTCTCTTTCTCTAGCTTCATCATCTCTTCTCCTGATCTATTCATCGTGTTTTTCCCACAACTCCTTGTTTTGTCTTTTAATCCTTTCGTTCTGAGTACTCATGTAGTTTTGCCTTGTGTGGTTGTCTTTCTTCTTCAACCAGATGGGATTGTTGCAACCTTCAAATCTCTTACCGCTTCCTTCTTCGTATGGGACATAGTCCACGAAGTTTCCAATGCCATCCATGGTGACTGAGGTATTTTTCATGAGCCTTTGTCTTAGTCTTACTTGATCTCTTCTTGACAGTCCTGTGAAGAGATATTTGGCTTCAGAGCCGAAAGATTGTCGAGCCTTGTGAGGTCTGTCTTGAGTGCGACCATAGCGTCTTTGATCATGGGACTGTCCACGAGACTTAGGAGGTGGATGAGAGTGACCCGAGACTTTGTGAGGAGAGACTCGCTTTTCTGAAGATCTTTCTTTCGTGTTATCCCTTCTTGGTTGGTTGTCATCATCCTTATCTCTGTCATCATCCCTATTTTCCCCCTTTTTGGCATCATCAGTGCAGGCAGTAGGAGGTACAGAGGGGATTTGTCTGATTGCAAGCAAGATGTCTTGAGCATATCCCAGAATTTGAAGAGCATATTCACCAAGTTGATAGGAATTGTCTTGATAAGTATCAATCTTGGTACAAGCTAGGTCAACACGTTCCTTGAGGCCGTAATGAGAATGCTTAATCTCGTGTTGCTGCCTAGCGACTTTGTTTGAACTTTCTTCAAGATCAGAAACTCTTTTCACCAATTGCTTAAGAGTTTTGTCGTGAGAAGGATTCGATTGCTGTGGTTGAGATTGTACATCAAGGAGTAGATTGACTTTTTGACACAGGTCATTCAATACTCTCGGGTCCTTCTCCCTTAGGGCGAGATATTGCTTGTGAATCAGTTCAGCTGAATGAACAGTTTCTCGCATGAGGTTCATAATGGTCCGTGGGGACTCAGCGATAGAATCGTCCTCAATGTGTGTTGGAGAAGAGTTCCTGTGTTCATCATGATGTGGTGCTTCCGGATTTTCACCATGCATCGAGTGGCCATGTTCAGGTGAGGCTTCCTTTCTGTCCTCATGAGCTGGAAGATTATGTTGTTGTTGTACAGATTCGTTCAGTTGCGGAATGATAGCACGAGACGAGTGAACTGGATTTTTACTGGATGCTTCATCCGAGTCTTCGTCTTCAGATGGTATTTTCAAGAGAGGTGGTCTTTGTGGGCAGTTAGCATAGTCCGTTTCGACGAAGATAGTGTGGCTATCTTCTGGTTCTTCTTCTTCAGCACCTTCTCCTCCTTGTTGATTATTGTCATCATCATCATCATCATCATCAGTATCACTGTTGTCGTCTTCGGTTTCATCATCATTGTTCTCGTCTTTATTTTCTTCTTCATTGTTCTCGTCTTCACTTTCTTCTTCATCCTCTTCTTCGATTTCGTTGCCATGAACATCTTTCGTTCCACTAGCACTGCCTTTGGGATCTCGAGGATGATCTTCTGCCATTAGGGCTTTAATTTTGGATAGCAGCATGATGTAGCGAAGTTGTTTCAATTCGGCTTCAGTTGCTGGATCCATGGGAGGTTTATGAAGAGGAACTACCAAGGGAGCTTTGTCCTTCCCGAGAGATCGATGAGTTATTCTATAAGAATACACTCGGTGGATCTCCTCAATTCGCACAGTCTTTGTGACGTCCTGAGTTTCAAGCCATTGAAGTGCGAATTCTTCTTCGTCGATCATGGCTTCAAAAGTTTCGAGAAAGGTTCTGAGAGGTGCCGTGCGCCACTTGTGCCATTGTAGAACTCGATTGTAATATCTTTCAATCGATTCTCTGAGAGATTTATCAAGGGTGTACCGGTCTGGAGAAGATTGACGAGCCGATGGTTTCGGGACAAATGATGTTTGAGCAGCTGTCATCTCGTCTACTAGTGCAGGTTCTTGTGTCAGAATTACCTGCTCTGCAATAGTAGGTTCTTGTGGAAGAGATTGAGCATCATTTGGAGCATCTGAGGCTGCTTTCGGGATGTCTTCTGGAGAGCCCGGCTCTTGTGGAAGACTTTGACATCTTTCCTCCATTTCTACAGTAGCAGGTTCTTGTGTCAACTCTCGTAGGAGTTGCTCTGCTAAGATAGGTTCTTGTGGATGAGGAACAGGAGATGCATTCCGATTGATGGATTTGTGAGCAACGGGACTTCTTTCGGGCAGAGAAGTTTTCAGTTTCCCCTCAGAGGTAGCTGCTTTCGGGATATCTTCCCCCTGTGATGTTGCTCCTTTTGACAAGGGTTCCCGATTTTGAGCAGGTCTCATTCGACTTCGTTTGCTTAGACGAATGAGAGGTTGATCATCATCATCTTCAGAGGAGTTCTGCACGATCAAGGTTTCGAGAGGGGGATCACCTTTCGTCTTTGGTTGGGAGATGACCGTCTTTTGAGTCTTAACCCGAGAAGAGGGTTTTTCTTGTTTCTGCCGTTTTGGTCTTGGTTGAGCTTCTTCGTCTGCTTTGGGGGTTTTTAACTTTCGTTTGGACTTCCCTTTGGGTAGATTGGTTTCAAGAGGAATGCCCAATTCCAATGCCTTCTGTTTGTCATATCCAGATGGCTTTTGTTTCATGTGACAGACCTTTTGACCAGGTGGAGCACCAGCACGTAGAATCACTCCTTTTGTGGCAAGAAGATGGCTTATAATGAAACCGAAAGCCCATCTTCTTTGTAATGTCACCAGGACTCCTGCGATTGTATGTGATGGTGTGAGCGATGTTGTGGAATATGATTTTGGACCAATCAACCTTATGCTCATGAAGAAAAGCGTGCAGCATTTTCAGCTTTTCCCTTGTGACATCATCTGTGCCAGAAGTCTTGTGGTCCACAATCTTGTTAAAGATGTCTACTGCAAACTCATAATCCAACCGGAACCATTTTTTCTTGAGGGGCCAGAAGATTTTATCTTTGGAAGGTGCCTCCTTGTGTCGTATGGATTCATAGAAATCCTCCGGATCCAGATGATAATATATCAGGTTGGATTTGTAGGACTCATCTCGTCTGGGAAACCCAAAAGTTGATCGAATATCCTCAGCAGTAAACACAATGTGATGTTTGTTAACTCTTGAAGTTATGCCTTGAGAAATCAGAAGCCACATACGCATTCAAATAAAACTGAGTAACATCAAGAGGGTACCATTAATCATAGTGGTGAGTTACTAAACCAAATAAACCTGTCTCTAGCAAAGAGCGATTATCCGTTCTCCAAAGGCTTTATCCAAGACATACTTACGAAACCCTTCTTGTCCCACATACTTCCTCCGACGATAAATGGAATTCTGGACTTGATAAACTCTATGTCTTCCGTGGGAAAGCTTGGTATTACTGGAGTGGATGAGGGTTCAGGGTTCTCTGGGTTCTTTTCGGAAGGAGCCGCCATTGATGATAGAAAGCTTGACTATAGAGATCTTTGAGAGGAAGGGATGTAAATTGAGAGAATGTAAAACAGACGGAATGAAGGTTTGAGCAGGGTTTATAAAGCTCCGGGTTGGTGTGCTTAAATCAGCGCCATTAAGAAGACTTATTCGAATTTCGAAAAAGAATTCAGCGTTTCCTCTTCCTCAAAAGGTAACTGATCATCATGGTTACGTGATAAGAACGTGTGCAGATCTGAAACGATCATTCCCTCATTTAATGAGGAGAGAGAAAAGCACTCAAGTGCTGAGAGGTGCATTAAATGCACGTCTATGTCCTGTCAGACTAGTGGGATAGTGGCGAATTTTCTCGCCGTATGATCCCAATGATACTTTATGAACGGTTTAGATTCAAGAAGAGATAGCGTCTTAAGTACGATTCAAAAACCCGAATGTTGTTCAAAATTTCATAAGACGCACATGTGGAAGTTTAGATTTTTGCCAAGTTCCTAAATGTGGAAGTTTACAGAGCATGAATTCCTTGAATACTATTACACCAGTGAATGAGCATAAATTGAGTACTTTGAGTTTTAAGTGCATGTTAAATACTTGCTAAGTGTTTGATGAAGAAGATTTGCCAAGTTATGATTTACAAGCATGATTCTAAGTGTTCTTTGAGAGTTCACAGTAACTTGGAATTGAAGCATGTTGACAGTACATTGCATTTTGAGCATATCATGTTTTAAAAGTGCATAAATGGTTAACGTGAGTCTAAGTATTATTTTCCAAGAACTCATATCCATTTTGGAAAGTCATTATCTTGTCATATTGAGAATTTGTTGAGAAGTTATGTGCATATTTGCATAAGTAAAGTGTTGCATGATTCGAGTTGCATGAGTGATATCTATATGTATATATTGTGAGGAAAATCTTGTTTTGGAGGACCCGTTGGGACTATGTCCTTTTGGAGCAAAAGAGAAAGAAACGGACATTGCGATCCAATACATGTAACGCGACGTATTCCCACGTTACGAGGTTGGAAACTGCCCGCCAGGCTTGGAATCCTAGTCAGGGGTGTGCACACTGATAGTTCGATACCTGATTCCACAGAGTTTGAGTTTTGGAACCACGAGATTGGTTTTGTGGGCGGGATGAGAGATTGGTCGGCTAGACGCCGAACCCAATAGGTTCATTCACATTATGGTGAAGTCCTGCTTCGCCACGAGTAAGAGAAAGCGATTCATCACGACTCTAAGAAAGCGAGTCATTGCGACTCTAAAGAAGCGAGTCATTGCGACTCTAAGAAAGCGAGCCATCACGACTCTAAGAAAGCGAGTCATTTTTGGCTCTAAGAACCCTGCACAAAAAGTATTCTTTTTACAAAAGAGTGTATATGTATATCTATACTTATACTATAGCATCATCTTTGAGTTATATGTCTTGCACGAGATTGCATGACAAGTAGTAGATAGCATGAGATTGCTTATGAGTTATATGCCTTGCACGAGATTGCATGAGTAGTAGATAGCATGAGATTGCTTATGAGTTATATGCCTTGCACGAGATTGCATGATTGGTAGTTAATAGCACGAGATTGCTTATGAGTTATATGCTTGCACGAGATTGCATGATTAGTAGTTGATAGCACGAGATTGCTTGAGTTATATACCTTGCACGATATTGCATGATTAGTATTTAATAGCATGAGTTTGCTTTATGTGTTATTTCATAGCATGAGATTGCTTATTTGATTATATGAGAAATCATGAGATTGTTGAGTACTTGAGAAACTTTAGATTTGTTTACAAGTTTTGAGACTGTGAAGTGATGTTCGTTGTATAAGCATGCCTATTCGTTAACTAGGTTGCAAGCATCTAGAAGTTAATGCCAAAGTATGATTTAAGTGATTAAGTTGCTTGATCTAAGAATGTGGAACAAATGTTTTCCAAAAGTATATATTGTATTACTTTACAGGGTTGAGTGGCGTTATACTTAGTTTCGTGCTAACGAGTTTGTTTTCTACTTGTTGTGTGTTAACCCCTTTCAGGTGGGCCCAGTTCGTAAGAAAGAGAGCACGAGTTAGACTAGTTTAGCTTAGATAGATTTGTAGTCTAAACTCTTATGTTATTTTGGATTTGTAGTTGACTACCTTCTTTTGTTGGTGTTGAACATCGGGGCTTGGTTCTCCAACCGCAGTATATAACTCAACTGGCCTCTTCCGTTAATACATCATTGGTATAGGACCTCGTAGAAAATTATTAGACAAAATTATTGACCTGAGTCCTGAAAGGTTTCCAATCCAGTCAGGAATTTCGTCTCTGATTGAGTTGTGCTCAAATCTAACAATTCCAACCGCATGCTAATTTATTGGCCACGAGAGAGCTCACCCGAAAAGCGGTTGTTTTCCAAACGCAAATAAAGAAGGCTACTCAGGTTTGAATTTGTAGGAAGAACTTGACCTACAAAATAGCCATACAACTTGTACAAGCGATCCTACAGAATAGTGAATTTAGGCTTAGCACCGTCCAAAAAGGCCTGTGTTTTCACCTTTCGGTTTATCAATTATCTGCATCGGAATAGGCCCTTTTGATCTTA